TACTCAATGCTGGTGTACTTTTCTGTTTATAGGCAATGACCTTCTCTAAAGATAAAGGTTGTAGTTCGATGCCAAATCATAATACACAACACAAACATAATTATTAGATGTTTTGAGGAGAATATAACTCAGACATTAGATAAATAAATGATAATTTTTCAATTATAGATTTGTCTCTCTACCTAAAATACATATTTCTAGACATTCACGGTCTTCTGGAAGTGCAAAATTATAGCAGCATTGATTCAGTATATGTGTAGTGACATTGCGGATGACACTGTATGGTGCAGGCCCTAGAGGGGCACGGCGTCCGATGTACTCACATTGCAGATATCACGTATGTAGCAACATCGTGAATGTCACCAAGCAATGCCGGCTCTAGCAAGGACCAGCATGCGATACATTGTCATCGTGGACACCCCAGAGGTGGGCATAGTACCAGCCCTAGTGAGGGCTTGGTGAGTGCTGGGATAGCTCAGTGCCACCATGCATGGCGTGCAGTGCTGTCTCCTACCAGAGAGAGTGGGAGAGTGTCAGCCAAGGGACAGGGTTACCCTGGGCCATGGCACTCTGGTTGACCCCTAAGGCACGTGACCGGTAAAGTCTACATGGGGCCCCCAAGTGGGGCTAAGGGGTGGTCAAGTGTCTGGGTAAAGCTGTCTCAAGAAGAGTCGAGAGAGACTGAGAGCTCTCTAGAAGGTGGATGGAACCAAGGGCGGAGCCGGCCTCGACCCAGGAGCATATAAAGCGGGTCCCAACAAGGGACCGGGGTTCAGTGTTGCTACCGTCATCTGAAGATCTACGTTCTACGTCGAAGAAGAGTCTCCAACACGTGGACCTGGACCCGAGCTGGGGTCTGGTTAGTTGTAGCTAACTCCCAGTGTGTTAGTGTAGTTTAGCCGTGTGGACCACCACCCTAGGCTGTTATCTGGTAAAGGGGCAGCTACCTCTTTGTGTATTACGTGTTGGTGTAATAAATGTGTTGCTTCTAAGAAGTACATCTGCGACTCAGCTGAATCCACTACGACTGGTGTCAGAAGTAGCAAATACGCTATTTTACTTAGCTTCCCGTAGAATATGTCTACGCGTCGCAGAATACATACCAGGACATCGGATGATGAGGAGGAAGATCTCATCCCGCAAACAGCCCCAGAGGATGGAGGAGAGGTGATGCTGGCAGAGCAGGGCACTGTCCGGGCTCATGACACTTCACCACTGGCAGGAACGGAGCTTAGGGCAGCGCACGGTCGCCTTGCAGAGCATCTCCAAGCCGCGGCGTCCATCCTTGCGAGCGGCAACCAGCAGACTCGGCGGAGATGGAGAGAGCAGCGGAGCCACTCGGACAACAGCACCGCTGCCATTTCACGTCGGGCGGAAACCTCTGTGGTGCAGCCCGCACTCACTGCCGCCATTTTCACACCGGCGCGGAGCTTGCAGCCCACTAAATCCAAAGCTGCGTCGACATCGCCGATGGACATTCCGTCTCTCTGGCGTCGACTTCCCTTCATTAAATAATTTGCAGCCACCAGGGACGACTGGGTGGCCTTCAAGCGGCGATTCCTAACGAACGCCGACTTGGTTGGGTGGACGGAGGCGGAGGCACTGAGAGCGCTGCCCACTGCCCTTGATGATGATGGCCTAGCGGCATTTCTTATCATCCCTCCGTCAGACAGGCCCACGCTGACTTAAGCCTTCGACCAGATGGCGGCAATTTATGAGCTACCGTCGAATGTGCGCCACAAGTTTGCTATGCAAAGGAAAGGGGAAGCCGAGACATAGTGCACTTTTGGCGCTGGTGAAGGCTGCCTTCCCAAGAATGGACCACGATGGAATCAACGTGTTTGTCCTCGAGAGACTGCTGACCTTGACCAAGGACCTCAACATCGTTCTGCCGGCCATAGATGACAACGATCTCTCGTTTCTCAAGGTGGCTAAATACATTCAGGCTCAGAAGCTCTTACAGCGACACAAGGGGTTGGTGGCGTGTACTGCGCCTCGTGAGGAGCCGGTTACACCTGAAGACGTGGAGCCCATTCCAGCCTGCACATCGACCCAAGGTGGAGGCGGGTGAGGGGATGGCGTGGCGTGATGGACGGACGACCAGCAACGGCCAAAGGCATCACTTAGTCCCGGAGGCGGTCGCGTCATGTGCTACAGCTGCTGCCTGCCGGGGCATATCTCGTCGGACTGCCACGTACCACAGCGATGCCTCCCTGGACTATCATCATCATCCACTTCACTGCACCCTAAGGCGAGTCGCGACACACTCTACACTCGGCCCCTGAATCCACCTCACCCGTCTAGTGTGTTCAGATCGCGTTCCAGTCGCACGTCAGTGTGGGGGGTTCCTGATTGTGATCGTGATGTTCAACCGCTCCATCCTGGTCAGTGGTCGGAGCTGGCCCATCGAGTGGTGGCCACGACTGCGGGTTCGTCCGCCGTGGTTGGGTTTATGGAAGGGGTGGAAATTGGGCTGTTCGTTGACACCGGTGCATCACCGACCATCATTTCTGAATTGATTTATAATATTTCCCCCCCTAAATATCGGGTCTTAGGCCCTGTCGAAGCACCATGCTATTCCGCTAACGGCAGCTCGTTGGGCATTATTGGATAAATAACAGCCGAGTTGTGCATCTATGATGTTTAACTGACTGGGCATGTTCTTATTTGCACGTCCCTTGCCATTCCTTGCTTGCTCGGGACCGATTTCCTGGGCAGGATGCCCCTGAAAATTCGGATTGACCAGGGGTGCCTGGAATTACTATCTGGCTATCGAATGGCATTTGTGCCTTCTCCCACCCGCTTATGCATGGCCAACGCTACGATGCAAGCACTTGCCCGTCGGACCATGAAAATTTTCCCCGGTGCACAGATGTTGGTTCCCCTCTGATTGCGGAAGCCGCTTGACCAGGGAGCGACAGCAGGAGGAATCCTTTTGGGGCCTTCTAATAAGGCCAGTCGTGGACTGACGTTAGTAGGAGCTCAGACGTTAGTATCCAACAATCAGGAACCTTTCATTCAAGTTCTTAACACTGGGTTAGACACGTCGGTTATCAAGGAGGGTACTGTGCTAGCTCATGCATCGCCGGTGCTTCCTGAGGGGAGCATCATTGGAAATGTGGGTGCCACGTCTTCACCGGAGTACGTATGAGTAGTGGATGGAATGCTTTGTGCCGAGAGTGTAGATTTGTCCAAGGGTCAGAAGGGAAAGCTACGAGCACTTTTGTGTGACTTTTCGGATGTTTTTAGCAAAGATAAATTTGATATCCACCACACAACGCTCTTGAATCATCATATTGATAGGGCGACACCGCTCCTATCCGGCAGAATCCTGACAGTGAGTGAAAAAAGTATTTGATCTCCTGCTTATTTTGTGCGTTTGCCCACTGACAAAGAAATGATCAGTCTATAATTTTAATGGTAGGTTTATTTGAACAGTGAGAGACAGAATAACAACAACAAAATCCAGAAAAACGCATGTCAAAAATGGTATACATTGATTAGCATTTTAATGAGGGAAATAAGTACGTTCTACATCGAAGAAGAGTCTCCAACACGTGGACCTGGACCCGAGCTGGGGTCCAGTCCGTTGTAGCTAACTCTCAGTGTGTTATTGTAGTTTAGCCGGGTGGTCCACCACCCTAGGCTGTTATCTGGTAAAGGGGCAGCTACCCCTTTGTGTATTACGTGTTGGTATAATAAATGTCTTGCCTCTAAGAAGTACGTCTGCGACTCAGTTGAATCCTCTAAATATGTACCAAATATACACATCTCACTCACCACGCAACTCCCTAATCATTACACTTCCACTTAGAGTTGACAACTACCCAGGTTTGACTTGGACAGCCCGGCAATTGGCATCTGTGTTCAGGTAGCAGGAATAGATTTGTAACGAAATGTTGTGGGATTGTGTTGAAGTATATTACAATATACTGCACAGCTTTGATGAATCGAGGCTGACTGACATATGTCCAGATTTGAAGTGAGGAAAAGGTAGCTATCCTGTCTTTACTGCCCTGCATAGTGATAGGTCTCTGAATATTAATTGTTACACAGAAAATCCATTTAGCCAGTTACCCAGTTAATATACAAGGTAAATCCTTGATGCATCAGCATAGAACAAAAACAATATCAAGTTTATAGTTAGGGAGGGACATACAACATCTGAAAATAATGCATCAGAGCTACAGAAAGAAAAAAAACTAATTAAAAACAAACATTAGTAACCTTAACAAAATAAACAACAGGCGTATTGCACCAAAAAATGGGTAATTAATGGTTAGAGAACAGAGGAGCGCGAGGTGAATCGTACTAATCGGAGGTGCGGGGGAAAGACAACAAACTTAACACAAAAAGCAGTTCTACAGAAATGAGTTTTCAATTTAGATGATGTAAAAGTGCATAGCTCCAGCGGCTTTCTAATATTGGAAGGAAGACCGTTCCAGACGGCCGCAGAAGTCCACCTGAAATTGTGTGATGCAGTGGCCGTTTTTGTTCGATCGAGTGAATAAAAAAACCCATCATGGAAATGCAAAATGTTACAGCAAAGGGTTGGGTCCAGGTACAGCAACTGAAGTGTGCAGTCTGAGCTCGGAGTGATTTTAAATGGTTTTCCATATTTGTGTACAAAATATCTCAGTTCTATTGAAAGATGTTTTTTTATTATGTTTTGGGTCTGTACATTTGTTTTAGGAATGCATCTTAGGTCATATAATGGGACCGTATAGACAATTTGGTTTCGATTTACATTTTAATAGTTTCACTTTATGTTGTGTTTATTTCCGCAGAGGAATCCAATTTTATTTTTTATCTTACTAACCATATTATGGATATGAAGGATCGAGATACTTAAAAGTTTTCGACCTGTTCTATGAGATGTGAGTGCAGAGACATAATGTGGAGGCAGGGCAAACTAGGTTTGGAGTAGCCAGAAAACAATGTGACTTTGGTATTTATAGCATTTAATATGAATTGATAGCATCCGTCGCACACCCTTGCAGGATTGCATGGTCCAGACAAAGGCTCATATCTCAGGCGAGTTCAACCGCATGAGGGCGATGCTGGATGAGGACGAGAGGGCAGCTCTGGATCGCGTGGATGTGAAGGGGCGCGAGCTGCTGTCCCGGATCGAGGAGAACATCGCTCATTACGAGCGCGAGATCAGCGACCTCCAGGCAGCAGCCACGCACCTGCGCACTTTGCAGGAGGAGAGGGACTCGCTCACGTTCCTGCAGGTACAGCGCTCACAGAGCCAGGGTAGTACTCGACTTACAAACACAACTCGTTACCAGGCATGTAAGTCCAACAGTTCATAAGTTTTGCTTGTTGAAAAAGGCACAATGAGTCACTATAATTGAACACACACACATGCCAGGCACACACGCACACAAGACAACGACACGCAAACAGACACCCACACGGAAACTACAGAAACACAATCACATGGGGCACGCGTGCACGCACAGACACACGTCCCATATAGCCTTAACAGACTGTTGGAGAGCACCGTCTATGAAGGCCGTCACCGCACACGAGGGGGTGAGTGGGCATCACCCCACCTGGCCACGATTGACCACTGTTGGCTCGGCAGTGGTGATGTTTATGCACCGAACCAGTTACTCGTTTGAGACTGAGTCGACATAGGGGAGGCCCAGGACCCATTCAGATAATTGTCACTGGTGCTGGTCATGAACGGGAATCGAACTCGTATCGGCGGGTTGGTAACGCAGTGCGCTTACCATTGCACTACTACTCCCTCCACACTAACTTGTACACACGCACACACACTGCAAGCACGAGGCTGACTCATTACATCTCGCGGATGATCGCTCCGCTGAAGAAACATTGTTCCACTATGGGAACCTCATTTGCCAGTAAAAATATGATAATTGGTTGTTTACCCTTGTATCTGGCAACAAAACTGACACCTTTTTACAAGGAGTCATGTTTGCATAGACCGCAATACCTGCAGTCATAATACAAACAAAAGACATAACTCTGATAATATGCACTGTCCTTGAAGTTGATTGGTCCACACCCAAGACAGCTTTCCTTAGAGCCTAGTCTCACATGTGCGCCTTTTGGCGTCATCTGGTCCAACCCATGTGAGACTAGGCTCTAAGGAAAGTTGTCTCGGGTGTGGACCAATAAACTTCAAGGACAGTGCATATTATCAGAGTTATGTCTTTTGTTTGTATTATGACTGCAGGTATTGCGGTCTATGCAAACATGACTCCTTGTAAAAAGGTGTCAGTTTTGTTGCCAGATACAAGGGTAAAAAAACAATTATCAAACATTGTTCCGTGATTAAGTTCGCGTTTGACGTCGATGTAAAAATATATATAATGAATGTAAGCTGGTCCGTATGTCGGGTGTTTGTAAGTCGAGAACTGCCTGTACATTTAGCAAGGTGGCACATTCGAGGTATCACAAAAGCAGAATAACTTGCATTGTCAATACATCTATGGCCCATAAGTTCAAAATTTAAAGGTGGAAACAAGTCCACCAACTTGATTTTGTATATTCTAGTAAAAATATAAATTACCACTGAATTTCCAAAGAATCAATAAACAATTAACACACAAATTTCTCGAGTTAATAATGAGTTGGTAATGTATGCAAACGTTGGCACTACAACATATAACAACATGGTCCTGTAATATACAGATTTAAGCTACTTACCGCTAGATTTTGATTATTCATGTAAACAAACAGAAGGGATTTTAACATCAGGAAAGCCGCGGGCATTTGTTTTTTATCAGTCTCGAAAAGTTTAAACCAATCCGGAGATGGTATGCTTCAACAAGTGTTCACCATTAGTAGAGTGTTTTTTCGGGTTCGATTGCATAAATATAAATGTCGTTAAACCCGCCACCACCCGACACAGCCAATTAGATTTGTCACGTAAAGATAGCATGCCAATTACCAACAAGTTCAGCACACCAGTGTGTTCGAAAGGAAACCCATAACATTTACAATTGGAGTACAACGTTTTGCCGGTAATTACAACCAGCCTCATCAGGTGACAGTCAGAATTGTGGAGAAATTCGCCTGTTTTGGTCTTAGAAGAATAAATGTGAAGTCATCACTGTGAGCCAATCAGGTCCCGGACCACGTGTTGGAGACTCTTCTTGACGTAGGACGTAGATATTCAGATGACGGTAGCAATGCTGAACCCGGTCCCTGTGGGGACCCGATTTATATGCTCCCGGGTCGGGGCCGGCTCTACCCTTGGCCTCGCCCACCTTCGAGAGAGCTCTGTTTCTCTCTCGACTCTTCTTGAAACAACTTTCTCCGGACACGTGACCACCCCTTAGCCCCCGCCATGCGTGGTGCCACTGCGCTATCCCAGCGCTCACCAAGCCGTCACTAGGGCTGGTACTAAACCAAACCTACGGGGTGTTGTTGTATATGCTGGATCTTGAAAAATTAATTGAAAAAAATAAAAATTTAATGAAAATCGATAAATGTGTAATTATCCGAATTTATGCTAATTTATGTGATTATCCAAATACATTTATGTTAATTGGGAAGGTGTAATTGCATTAGGTTATGCAAGTATGCTAATGTGTGCAATTACGATAATTAGGCTTTCCTCGTTGTCTCGGGTTGTATTATCAATCGGGATAATACAATTAATTGTATGAAGTTATGCAAGTGTGATGTAAGTATGCTGATTAAGCTCGGCTTCGTTGTCTAGGGTCGTATTATCAATCGGGATAATACAATTATTCTCACTTTTACTAATTATGTTTTAGTGTTTATGTCAGGTCTCAAAATTCAGATCTCACCGCACGATACAGTTCTTATAATGAACATTATTATGCATGAACTTAGGAAGGCACCACTCAGACTTCTGTGTTAAGGAACTTTAATCTGCTACCAGGAATGTCAACACAGTCCTCTTGGAGATATCCTCCTCATTGATCTGTACATGTAAACCTCAATAATCACGTTTCTTAAACTGGGTAACAGAACAAGCGGTTAATTCCTCAGAGTAAAGCGAGCATGCACGGCGATGGGAAAAAGTCCTTACAAATTAAAATTTTTAAATTAATGTGACAATATTCATACAAACATGTGCCTAAAGCAAGAGTACCATATTTTCCCGCATAACCCGCGGGGTATACCAATTTTTACAAACAAAACAAGACCCTGCGGGTATATGGAGGCTATCTTAAAAATATTTTACACGTGTGACATTTTTTCATGGTAGGACTATCCACTATACAACACTTACCTTTGACTAAAGCACTGCTGAATAAACCACTCACTTCGAATTGTTTGTACAATGAAAGGACAATGTTTGAAGTGGGCGCACTTTGTCTACTGGCGACGGGAGAGCTCGGGGGAGAGAGAGGTGGGGGTTGGGGGGTGGGGCAGAGCAAGGTCTGTGGTGGTGACGGGAGAGCTGGCGGGAGAGCTGGCGGGAGAGAGAGGTGGGGGGTTAGGGCAGCTGGGGGGAGAGAGAGATGTGGGGTTGGGGGCGAGGCAACTGTGTTACTGTAGTGCCGCTATTGTCTGCGCAGTGCGCAATCTACCAGTGCTAAAACTGTACTTACTTATCTACCAGTTATGTGTTATTTATTGGATATGTATTTTTATTACTTATTTAATGTTTTAAGTTCACTCGTTTCCGGTTAGTTTGTTTTCTATGTGCACGTTATGATTTTAATGTTAACAATTGATAGTGGAATGCATTGCAAATGTAAACTTTGTATTAACATGATGGAATTAAGCTGTGGTAACGACGTTAAAGTTATGAATGCATGCGGGGTATATGGAGGTGCGAGCTGTCTGAAATTTAACGCTATTTTTGGAAGGTATATGCGTCTGCGGGTTACATGCGTATGCGGGCTGTATGCGGGCTATATGCGGAAAAATAGGTAGTTATCAATTAATTCATTAGTAAGATTATGCAATTAACGAAATGTCTTGGAACAATGTTGTGCGGAAGTGTGCCTGTCTGTCTAGCAAATGCTTATCAATTGGCTACGGCTTCAATACATTTGCTACCCTTTTTGAAACACGAGTAGAACTTTAGAGTACTCTTATTAGTCCCAATATGTGCGTTATGTGTGTGTGGGTTGTCTCCTTGCTCATCTCTTTGCGTTAAGCAGACGTCGAGGTTGGGCGTTACTTGTACCCAAAATTACTTTGTTCCCTGCTGTGCGATGAGTCGTGTGTGTGTGTGGGAGTGTCATACACGCAGCGCTCCCTTTCGGCGGCAGCTGCAGCTGCTTGTCCACTGCTGAATGAGCTCAGTCGGCACGACGCTTGTCTTTGAAGGTGCTTGATCGCGCTCGCCACTCGTCCGCAGGTCGCCGGGGCTGGCATACTTGCTCAGTGCTCTCTGGCAATGCACAATTGCACTCGCAGCTCGTCGACGGGGCCGACACTCTTGCATGGTTGCGCTGGTTGCGCGCTCTCTCCTGCTCCGTGCTCTCTGGCGGTGCACGATTGCACTCGCAACTCGTCCGCTGCTGCTAGTCCTCTGATGCTCGCTTGGTCGATTCTTGGCGCTTTCCGTCCTTTCTCCAGGTTGATTGCTTGTCGTTGCTCGTCACTCTTTCTCTCTCTTTTTTTCTTGCTCTCTCCTTGATCGTGCCGCTGCTGGGTGGGAGCTGGCACTCAATGTAGAATAAACTTTGAGCGATACTTCATCTGTCAGTGCTGACCTCGTACTCGGTGACACTTCGCTACTCGGCAAGCCTCGCCATCCTTGGTCGATTGCAGGGCCCAGCCCCGGAGCTTTCTGCAGCAAGACTCAACTCTTTGCGTTGACTTCATAGACTTGTGGCTTTTGCTGATGCAGCTCCCTCCTGATGTGCCTATCACGGAGGCAGATTCCCAGAGCCTGCCACTCGCAGCAACTAAGTTTCATGATCTGTTTACATGTGAAATTCTCTCCCCTCTCTGCGCGTCTCTTGCGAGAGAAAAATAAACAGATGCTCTGTCTCGTTCTACTCCCGTGGCCGTAGTCGCCTGGTTGCCCTCCCCCACCTTTTGACCTTTGACTGGCTGCTTTCCATACTATGTTCATGTTTTGGTTTGCATTCCGCCCCCCCCTGCCTTCGTGGCGTTTGTTATCTCAAAGGGGAGGCACCCTCCCTTCATATGTATATTATTGCTACCATGTGTTGTAACCATGTGTTGGAGATATAGCTAAGTTTGGACTTAAGCTTTCGTGATTGCAGGAACTCATGTACTTTGGTTAATTTGGTAAAGTTACATATAAAGAGGCAAAACAAAAACAAGGGGCATCTGTTTGGTCCCCCCCTCTCCCCTTGGTGACCCCTGACTTGCTGCATTCCATCACAGTTTATGTTTTGGTTTGCAACTCCCCCCCCCTTTCAGCCTTCGTGGTGTCCGCTATCTCAGGAGAGGCCCTCCCTTCATACGTAATTGATTGCACCCTGTGTTGTGTCAAATTGTTGGAAGACAAAGGCGGCCGGGGAGGCTCTGATTCCGTGGAATACATATTATCTGGTCTTGTGTGTTTGACCTATTTCCTTGTATCTCTTTTGGGTTACTCTAGGTCTAATTCCTCCTAATTATTATTTGTTGTATGTTTAACCAAGATTTGTAATGTGCCATCGTTGTTACCACCGCGATTCCGAGGGTTTTGCTAAGCTTTGTTCTCAGTCCGTGTCACCAGGGAGAGATCGGTGTTTTATTCCCGAGTTATATTTTGATATCCTGATATCCTGAGGTTGGAGATATAACTACATTTTAACTACATTTTCACTTATGCTATCTATAATGTCGACTTATTATTATAGCCAAGCTTTGAACTTTTACCGTATTAAAAAAAATTCCAGTTGTAATGTCCGTTTGCCCCTGCTCTGTGTCTGGAGATGTTTGTAAAACGTCCAAAACGTCCGTCGGTCGTGTCATGCGGTCCTTTGACAATCTGGAGATTTCCCAGATCGTCGTTAAGACCTCTTTGCCCCGGAGTTTATTATTTAATGGCTCTTTATGACCTCCAGATGCTTGGTGTGGCTTGTGGGAGGTAGCGAGGTTGAGGCTGTTTCATTTTTTTATCGATTATTATTACAAAAAAATATTTTGGCAGAATTATTCTTAATATCATTTTTTGGAAAAAGGCCTACATATACGACAGTGTCCGCAATGACGGTGCATCGCACGCTGTCCCTTGCTAGAGCTGGCATTGCTCAGTGACATGCACGATGCTGCTACATACGTGATGTTTGCGATGTGAGTACATCACACGCCGTGCCCCTCTAGGGCCAAGACCATACAGTGACATCCGCGATGTCACTACACATACATATAAATTACAATGTATCTTTATTATTCGTTGGGTTATTCACAGTTAACCAAGTACGTTATGTATGTACATTATACATGTATATTACCGACTATTGGGCTCAAATATCTTATGAAAGTCGGGCCTCGTTTTCCGTTTTTGGGCCCAAAAATCGTCCCAAAATTTCTAAACTAATGAAAAAGGTAACGCAATGCTTTGGGTGGATAATTATTTGGAATGTTGGTTCACAATCACTACCACTCGATTTCGAGTGCAATTTATGCCTATTGCCCATGGCAACGGTTCGAGGCCACAACTTGCTGATGAGAACCATCAAGTCCTAATGACTCAACGGCTTTGTCTTGATTACAACCAACAACACTGGGATATGTGAATGGATGAGCGCAGCCCAGCTCATCGCGTCTACCAATCACCGTGTGGTTAACGTGGCTGGAGGGGAACTGACTCGCGCCCACTGTCCTGTGTCTGACTCCTGCAGGTTCACCTGAAGGAGAAAAACCGGTATGGACTCATGAACTCAGAATAACACACGGGGTGACGCCATGTGTGGGACATCGGCTGTGTGATGATGATGAGTGTAATAATGCTGTGTGTAATGATGCTGTGTAAGGCATTGGCTGTGATGATGCTGTGTGTGATGATGCTTTGTGTGATTATGCTGTGTGTAATGATGCTGCGTGTGATGATGCTTTGTGTTATGATGCTGTCTGTGATGATGCTGTGTGATTATTATTTTTGATGATGCTGTGTGCGATGATGATGTGTGCGATTATTCTGTGTGTGATGATGCCGTGTGTGATGATGATGCTGTGTGTGATGATGCTTTATAGCAGGGGTCCCCAACCCTCGAGCCACGGACCGGTACAGGCCACGGACCGGTAGCGGTCCGTGGCCTGTTAGGAACCAGGCCGCACAGCAGGAGGTGAGCGGTGGGTGAGCGAATGAAACTTCATCTATATTTACAGCCGCTCCCCATTGCTCACATTACCGTCTGAGCTCCACCTCCTGTCAGATCAACGGTGGCATTAGATTCTCATAGGAGCGCGAACCCTACTGTCAACTGCGCATGCGAGGGATCTAGGTTGTGCGCTCCTTATGAGAAGTCAAAATCCGACACTTATTTTAGTCCACGCCTGGCCCGCCCATTATTTTATTTACCACTTCCGTCCGCGCCTCTTTCCCGCACTGCGCACTTGTCTCAGTCACAGTGTTTGGTAAGCACACAAGCTAACCCTAGGCAAAATGAGTAAAAAACAAATGTCGTGGGAGATAATCTTTGAAAAGGGATAAAGACCCAATAATGAGACAGGAGAAGACTCTAAGACCGCCAACAAAAAAGAAAGCTGCCAAAAAAAAAGAAAGCTGCATTTAAAAGAAAATAGCAAGAGTCCTACTTAAATTACGGGTTCATTGCAACAGGTGATTCACATTCTTCAAGCCTGCTTTGTATAATATGTGGTGACCGGCTATCCCACAAAGCCATGAAACCTTCAAAACTGCTTCGCCACATGGAGACCAAGCACCCTGCATTAAAAGATAAGCCTTTAGAGTTTTTCAAAAGAAAAAAACGTGAACACGAGGAACAGAAGCAATTATTGAAGGCCACCACTTCATCAATGTGTCTGCACTGAGAGCATCATTCTTTGTGGCTAACCGCATTGCTAAAGCCAAGAAGTCCTTACTATTGGTGAAGAGTTGATCCTGCCTGCTGCTAAGGATATTTGCCATGAACTGCAGTTCAAAAGGTGGTACGTGTTCCTCTTTCGGCTAGCACCATAACTAGACGAATTGATGAATTAGCAGAGGGTATTGAGGCACAATTGTTAGAGAGGATTAATGAGTCACCGTGGTACGCAATCCAGGTTGACGAGTCTACCGATGTTGACAACAAGGCAACAATGCTTGTTTTTGTGCGATATATTTTTCAGGAGGATGTGCATGAGGATATGTTATGTGCACTTTTGTTGCCAACCAACACCACAGCTGCAGAACTATTCAAGTCTTTGAATGATTACAAATCAGGAAAACTGAATTGGTCATTTTGTGTCGGTATATGCACGGATGGAGCAGCTGCCATGACTGGACGGCTTTCTGGTTTCACTACTCGAGTCAAGGAGGTCGCTTCTGAATGTCAGTCTACGCACTGTGTCATCCATAGAGAAATTCTGGCTAGCCGAAAAATGTCACCTGAACTTAACAACATTTTGCAGGATGTGATTAAAATTATCAACCACATTAAAGTGCATGCCCTTAACTTACGTCTGTTCGCGCAGCTCTGTGAGGAGATGGACTCAGAGCACACACGTCTTTTCTTATACACAGAAGTGAGATGGCTTTCTAAAGGTAAATCACTGGCCAGAGTTTTTGAGTTATGAGAGCTGCTCCAGAGATTTATTTTAGAAAAACAGTCACCACTGGTAGCACATTTCAGTGACACAAAATGGGTTGCAAAACTTACTTACGTGACATTCAACCTGCTCAACGAAGTCAATCTGTCACTTCATGGGAGAATGACAACTGTGTTCAAGTCGGCAGATAAACTGGCTGCATTCAAAGCCAAACTGGAATTATGGGGGCAACGAATGAACATTGGGACTTTTGACATGTTTCAAACATTAGCAGAGATTTTGAAAGAGACTGAACCAGGACATTTTTTCTCCCAGCTGGTGCATGATCACCTATCTCAGCTTTCAAAAGAATTTGAGCATTACTTCCCAACCACAAAAAACCCCCAAACTGGGAAGGAATGGATCTGCGACCCATTTGTGAATAAGCCAGGTGAATCGACTTTGTCCGTGCTAGAAGAGGATCAACTGCTTTCGATCGCAAATGACGGTGACCTTAAAAGTATGTTAGAGACAACTTCAAATCTCCATACATTCTGGATTAAAGACAAGGCGGAAAATCCTGAGATTACCACAAAAGCACTGAAAAGCCTGCTTCCATTTCCAACATCCTATCTTTTTGAAGCAGGGTTTTCTGCATTGACAGCAACCAAAACGAGATTATGGAGTGGACTGGACATAAGCAACACACTTCGTGTGTCACTGTCTAGAAATAAAGTGCACAATAAATGCAATGCGCTCGAATCATCCCGAAACCCCCCCCCAACCCCCACCCCCCCCCCCCCCCGATCCGTGAAAAAATTGTCTTTCACGAAACCGGTCCCTGGTGCCAAAAAGGTTGGGGACCGCTGATTTATAGGGCACTGGCTGTGTGTGGTGATGCTGCATGTGATGATGCTATGTGCGATAATGCTTTGTGATTATGCTATGCATCATGATGATGTGTAAAACACGGGCTGTGTGAGTCACTTCTGGTTGTGGTGTCATAGGAGAGGCACTCAGAAGGAAGCTCCACACTCATCTCCCAGCAAAGAAGACATTGCCACGATCAGCGCACAGCAGCGAGCTCTGATCAACTTGCTGCCGTTAATGTGTGAGTAACACGGACTCTTCCCACGTGTGCATGTATGTTATTGCGTATGTAATTGTGTCTGTGTGTATGTATCGATGAAATGGAGTGTATGGAAAGTGGTAGTCTAGCAGTTGGCATGCTGTGCTACAAATCCAGCCACTGGAGTTCGATTACTGCTCACGACCAACACAAGTCACGATTATCTCAACAGTTCCTGGGCCACCCCTAGGTAAACTCAGCCGTAAATACACGGTTGGCTATGTGCAGTGCGAAAGAGGTTCAACATACATACAAATGAGTATCTGGTGCAGTATTTAAACATAGACATGAGGGAGACAAAAGGGGCCAGGCGTGGTGCTGGCCATCCACCCCCTCGTCCGCCGTGCCATTCTTCAAAGGTGCTCGCTAACAGCACTTCCCCAAAGGTCTGTTAAGGATATACGGGGTATCTTTGCCTTTGTAATAGTGTATTTATGCATGTATCTTGAACTTCTTTCACACCATACGTAGCCAACCATGCTAATCGGAGGTATATGGGTGTATGGGTGAGCGAGAGTGAATGTTCAATGAAGATGGGATGGTTTGTGCACTGAGCTACACACATGGTCATCTACATGTGATTCACGGCCATGGCTGGATTCAGAACCAATGTTGGACGTCTCCTAGGTCGACTCAGCCTTAATGAGTACCTAGTACGTCTTGCAGACATCAGCACTGTGGGCAAAAATGCAGCCTGTGGGATTTTTACGGTGGAATGATAATGCCTATGGCTTTTTAAACGAGATCAATGTAATTTTAGGAAGTTTATGGTTGATTGTCAATACCCAAGGATCATACATCCAGACTAATACACATTTGAGATTATTGGGCTTCATATTAACAGCCTGATGCTCAGATAGCTAAACTATAGCACTTTTATAATTCTTAGTTTCCCCAGTTAATGGCTGAAGCTCACAGAGCCAGATTAAGGCATAACCTTGGTGAATCTTGTCTATCACTACACCGGCCATGCACAGATAAATATTACGACTGTAATGTATTAATTCGACAATAATATATAGAACACACACACACGAGTGTATTTAACTATTACATGAGCTCCATTGATATTACACGTCTGTATTATCCAGTGAGGAATGATGTTGGCCAAAGTAACCATTGTAGCAGATTAATCTATGAGTATAAGTCTTCTCTGTGATCGATGTCATCAATAGACTCTAGAAATACTACATCACCATTGTGATGGATAGGGTCCATTGTTGATGCTGTAGGCTTATAACCAGACTAAGGCAGCCTACGGATTCTGATTATTCATTCATAACGCTTGGGGCTGCTATATCCCTACTAAGGCACAGTAAGGATTATTGGGGTTCAATATTAATACCCGAGACTCACAGATACAGACTGGGCTATTACTGTGGCTGACCATGTGCATCACTGTGCATACATACAGATACATTCCTATTGCCCATGTATTGCAATACCTCTACGTTAACGAACAACACACACACGAGTGTAAAGGAGTATAACATGAGCTCTATTAACGCTACACTTATGTATTATTGAATGAGGATGCTGTTGCTATGCTGTGTGTGTGAGTGTTTTACACATAGACACTGTTGCTGAGATTCTGATGATTCATTATTAGTACTTGAGGCTGCGATATCCAGACTCAGCCATAGTTAGGATTCGTAGAGTCCAGTGTTAATGCCTAAAGCTCCTAGAATCAAAGGCACCTTTAGGATTATGCGTTAACATTCAGATGTATACGAGACAGCCAGACCAATGTTTAACCTTGGTTGACCGTGTAAATCACTTTGTAGGAAAAAAGGTAAATTGCTATAAAACATATATCAATATATCTACACATTAATATATAGAACACACACAGAACACTATTACATGAGCTCTATTAACACTACACGTGTGTATAATTGAGTGAGGATGCTATTGGAATTCTGTTTGCGAGCCTTTGACACACAGACAAACTAATGGCTGATATTCTTAGGATTAATTACACTATGTAACACAATTTTTGTTCCTGGGTAGTAAGTGTTATTTCGTATTTACTTATAAGTATAAACATGTTTATTATTCCAGGACAGTGATATTTAGAAATTTACCTATTTTCAATGAGGAAACGGGCGAATTTGTGTCTTTACGGTCACATAAAGTCAGAAATAAACAACGTATGAATCAAAATTAACATGTATTTATTGGAAAGTAATAAAAAAATTACTACAATAGATTTAGAAGTGAGACTTTTTTCGAGATTTACGATTATACTGTAAATCACATTCATGAATCAGCCCCCAAATGTAGTCATCGGCAAGTCCACTCAGCTCCACGTCCTCCTGTACCACGTCACTCCATCTCTTCTCGAGCCCGTACCGCGCCCGTTTAGCCCCCTCGATCAGGCCGAACAAAACCTGTTTGGGCATGCGGTGATTGGGAATGCTGGCTACATGGCCCAGCCAACGCAGCCTTGCATGCCGGAGGTGCTCACCGATGGGACTTTGTCCAGATCTTTCGAGGATTTGCGAGCTCACGCAATCCAGCCTGGTTAAACCCAGGATTGATCGTAGGCAGGCCAGCCTAAATGTTTCTAACCGGCGAAAGTGTTCAATTAGGGGGGTCGACGTTTCGCAAGCGTAGAGAAGGGAGGGAATGACTATTGCCAAGAAGACCCGAAGCTTCGTGCGGAGCGACAGACCAGATAGCTTCCACACAGCGTTGCGCAACCGATGAAAAGATAATGCCGCTCGACTGATTCCGAGTGAGACCTCTGCTGTTAAACCAGAGCCGGACATGAGTACACTGCCCAGGTATGGGAAACTCTCCACTCTCTCCACAACTGCCCATCACCGAATGGGAGTTGTGGGGGTGGAGTGCCCGATGGTTGAAAATACAAAGGCAGGTGCTACGTTGTTGTGGGGCTGATGGTAAGGCCCCACCTCTTAGTGGCACACTCCAGTTTCAGCAGCAGCGCCTCTAACTCCTCCTCTGAATGAGCTGCAATTACCAGATCGTCGGCATACATAACGTGGTTGACTAATAGGGAGCCATCCCTTGACCGCACCGAGGCATTAACTAGATCGAAATTCCTCCGGTACTGCGACTGAAGGCTTCACAAACTACGTGGTCGAAATAGATGTTAAATAGTGTTGGAGCCAGAGGACATCCCTGTCGCACCCCAAGGTGTACAGTGAATGGCTCAGACCCCCGGCCACGTAGTTTTACCCGGGCCTGCTCATCATCATGAAGGTCCTTAATGAGCGTCAGCAGAGGGTCAGGGACTCCGAAAGCATGAAAAACAACCCAGAGCCCAGGCCTACTGATGTTATCATAGGCCTTGACCAGGTCAATGAAGCAGAGATGTAGGTCTTGTTGGAATTCCCTATACCTCTGCTGTCGCAGACGGAGAAAAAATATGGCATCTGTGCAGGACCGCCCTTTCCTGAAACCGCATTGGGGCTCCGCAAGCCTTTCCTCAGCGTACCTAGCAAGGCGATGTTGAATAATCCTTTGAATATGAATAATCCTTTCCAGGACTTTTCCCGGCACACTGAGGAGTGAGATGCCCCTGTAGTTGTTACAGTCTGTGCGGTCCCCCTTCTTAAAGAGGGGGACCACCAGGGCATCCTTCCAATCCTTTCAGAACCCATCCAGTGGCCCAGACTTTTGTTATGATGTCATGTAGGGCAGTCTTCGCACAAACACCACCCTCCCTCAGCATTTCGCTTGGAAGATCATCTCTGCCTGGTGCCTTTCCTGGTCTCAGACTCTGGATCGCCTTCAGTATATCCTCAACAGATGGCACCTCAGCCAGCCACTCACAGGGGGTGACTTCCTCCTCCAATATTTGAGGCACCGCAGCCTCAGAAGGGTCATCCCCACTTTGTCCCATAATGTTTTCCAGGCTGAGGGATTCCCATTACACTATCACACACACACGAGTGTACATAACTACACTATCACACACACACGGGTGTACATCACTACACTATCACACAAAGCCCAGCAGGAGTTGGGCCTTGGTAGGGCTCGCATGGGCGGCCACCACTATGCATAGCAGGTGCTATAGGCTGTGGGGCTCCATGGCGGACAGCAGATGGCCGGTCAGACAAACACACATCTGTACTGTACTTCTGTGCTCTCGCCAACTACGCCACCTGCCTTCGCCAACACGCGGTGACCGGCGTGGTGAAGTATGGTCAAATATCCCCCCACGACCCGCATGGTATAGGGAGGGCCTCATCCAGCAGTGGATTGAAAAAGTGTCCATTACATGTTATCACACCGATAGCTTCGCATTATAACATTGTATAGTAATTCTCATTATGAATTGTTCTATTGTATTGTACGTGTGGTAGTGCACGAATGCTATTGTTATAGTTGTGCTGTTGTTACACGGCTACTGTGATTGTCGTTACTGCAGATGGACGCTCACCAACTCTGGACCCAAACTCGGCCCACAACAACCTCCAGATTTCTTTGGATCTCAGGATGGTGACGCGAACCACTGTCTCCCGGGGTCGCCCCGATCGCCACCCATGCCGGTTTGATGTCTATTACCAAGCCCTGTGCTCCAAAAGCTTTTCGTCCGGTCAGCACTACTGGGAGGTAGACGTGGGGGGAGCGGCGGGGGGCTGTATGGTTGGAGTCGCATACGAGACGATCGCACGGAAAGGGAGTGGTGACAAGTGTAGGCTGGGAGAGAACGACTCATCCTGGGTTTTATGTAAAAATAACAACAGCTGCTGCATTATTCATGGTGGTGTCTGGACTTCAGTGCCGGTGAGGGATCCTCCCCGGAGAGTCGGGTGTCACCTGCACTGGGAGGCGGGGCTGCTGTCATTTTACTGCGCCGACTCCATGGAGCTGTTGCACTCCATCCACCACTCGTTTAGTCAACCGCTCTACCCCGCACTGTGGGTGGGTGATGTTGTTGGTAGCTCAGTGAGGATTCTGGATTTGAGTCGTGCGTCCTGAGAGCACGGAGTGTGAGCAGCGCAGAGGAGCAGCGCAGAGAAACGGGCACAACGCACAGACTCACGCACACAAAGACACAGACCCCCGTGTAGCCTTAACAGGCTGTTGGGGCAAGTGCTGTTAGCAAGCACCTATGAAGGCTGGCACGGCACTCGAGGGGGTAGGTGGCCAACACCACGCCCGGCCGCCTTTGTCTTCCCAGTGGTGACGTTTACACACTGCACCAGGGACTCATTTGAGGCTGAGTCGACCTAGGGGAGGCCCATGACCGGTTTACGAACAACATTGATAGCGATTATTTGAATCGGTTTTGGGTCTCCCCTAGGTCGATTCAGCTTCAAATGAGAACCTGCTACGGTGTGTAAACATTGCCACTGGGGAGACAAAGACGGTCGGGCGTGGTTCTGGCCACCCACCCCCTCGTGTGCTGTGGCGGCCTTCATAGGTGGTGGCTAACAGCACTTGCCCCAACAGTATTTTAAGGCTATATGGGGATCTTTGTCTTTGGGTGAGTGGGTTGGTGTGTGTTTTCCTTTCTGTGTGTCGTTGCTATTGTGTCTTTGTATTTGTGTGTGTCTGGGCGTGGTGCTGGCCACCCACTCCCTCGTTTGCCACAGTGCCGGCCTTCATAGGTGCTCCTCGCAAACTGCACTTGCCCCTACAGTCTGTTAAGGCTATACGGAGGATAATTTTCTTTGGGTTCGTGGGTTGGTCTGTATGCCTTTGTCTGTGTGTGTGTGTTTGTTACTGTGTCTTTGTGTCTGTGTCTTTGTTTTGGTGCTGGCCACCCACCCCCCTCGTGTGCTGCTACTTGCTACGAACAGCCCTTTCCCCAACAGTCTGTTAAGGCTACATAGACACACACAGATAGACACACACTCACATACACACAGACACACTCACATACACACAGATGCACACATACACACAGACTCACACAGATACACACACACATATACACACAGATACAAAAAGTGTTTGTGTCTTTGTCTTTAGTGTATAGAGAGCCATGTGCGAGTGTGGGGTGGAGCGGTGGTGCAGTGGTTAGCTCACTGGTGGGGGAGGGCAGGGGGAGCCAAGCTTCTCTCTGACGTCATCATCCCTCGCACCGCGCGCCGCGTGGCGCTCAACGCCGAGAGGGCGGAGCTCCACCGCGGGCGTGCTGGGAACACGCGTCACGTGACGCTACGGAGTGACGCGCGCCGTCCCCTCGCGGTCACTCGCTCGTTGGGCGATAAACCCGCGGTGGGAATGGGATGGCATCACTAGGGGGGACTACTCGTGGTGTGTGCTGAGCGTCGCTTGGCTAAAACATTTTTGTTATAACCAGGGGTCGAGTGACCCCCTCCTCCCCCTCCTCCCCCCACCCAAACTAGTTTTATTTTACAGGGCATAGAGAGAGAGAGTAGCCATTTAACACATAATAGTAGTAGGAGGTCTTTCGCCACCAATATTATTCGTAAAGTTTTGTTTCGATTAATATTTTAATTATCTGCTGTCAGACTTATGGACCTGAAGCCACAACCTTCAATGTATGGGATAACGCTTCTGCTGACAACAATGGGAACTGTGTTTTGACTTTGAAGTGGGTTAAAGTTATTAAGCGCCTGATATATATCTAGAGTGAGGATCTACCTTACAATACGACACGACTAATATTGTCTCAACACGCATTAATAACATAAAGACACTGTGTGTTATTACAGGGATAGAGAAAATGTAAACTCAAAATATACAGCAGCTTTCAGGGTCGTAATCCAACCCACGACCTTCTTCATACCAAGCGAGGGAGTTAACATATCCGAGCCACAACGGCGTCCCTCCTTAACGTGAGACACCAATCCGGTGTGAACCCAACCTCGAGTCTCAAACTGTTTAGCATCGCTTAGATGATTTGAGACATTGATTATATTGTACCAGTTGAAATAATTGTGTAAACGCTAATTGCATTGTGCTTTGGGCTGTGTGTGAGCTTTCTGATTGCTGCATTGCTAGCGTCGGTTTGACTTGTTTTGCTTTTTTCATTTTTGTGACCCAGGTCAATTTTGTCAATGAGACTCATCCTGATCTCCTGAGTTCTCACCTCGTTGAACTCAAATTCAACTCGATCATCATCAGCATCAGCAGAAGTGTCATCTGCAGCAGAATTAGTAACAGCAACAGGACCTACAGCATCAGCAGCGGTAGCTCCATCATTAGCATCATCATCGTAAGCGTCAGGAGTAGTACCAACAGCATAAAAAATAATGTAAGCATTTCCAGCAGCAACAGAATCATCACCATCAGCAGTAGAAGCAGCGAATGCAGCAACAATCACTCTTACAACCGACACTCATCCTGGTCTCTTGAGTTCTCACCTGGTTAAACAAATCGACTTTAACACGTAGGCTTCCGCGACCAATATTTTCAATAATAAAGGTTTCTTGGTTAGATCGCGAAAATATACATAGACTTGATTGTGTTCTGGGTTACCTGTGATTTGGAATCACATTTTATTGTGGGTCAAGGGTCAATGTGTGTGTGGTGATGAATAAAAACGTTAAATCTGAACATCAGTTTACTGTACTGGGATGTATGGGCTCATGTGGTGGGTGAGTTTCCTAGTCTCTATGTGGCTGGGCGGTGGCAGTTTGACATCGTGATATCAGTAGTGACTATGCACGTGGCCTGTAATCCCGCACTGTGGAGCCGAGGGTTGGTGGGACCCCTCGAATGTTGTGAAGCCCACTTCCCGAAGGAGCCGAGGAGGTGCCTTACTCAGGTTGCATCGTAACAATAGCCTGATTACTAATCTAGTATATAATTACAATCACTCCCCCCTTGAATCTTTGCACCTGATGAGTTAATGAGTTAATGATGACGTCACTCTGCTGCTGCCATATATAAGAACGGGAGACACAGCAGAGCCTCACCATTCTGGCGAATTGCCCGATGATGCTGGATGCAATTACCAGCGAAACGTCGTACTCAAATTGTAAATGTTGTGGCTTCAACACACCGGTGGGCTAAAGCAGTGAACTATTTGTCTTTGTCAACGTGACACATTTTTACTGATTGGCCGTGTCGGGTGGTGGAGGGTTACGACACATTTATAAATAACGCGATCTAAACCCAAAAACGTTGATTATGAATAACATTGGTCGCGAAAGCCTGCCACGTGTTAAACAGGTTGGCTCTGCCAGGAGAACCCCGTACAGCAAAGAGTGGACTAAAATCTTCTGTCCCTTCTGTATGGCGTAGAGTGTAGCGCCGTTTCAGGCGCAGGTTTTCTCCGGGTCCTCCAATTTATTCCCACATTCACACAGGCAAACATTCATTGACTAAAGACATCTTCTTCTTGGTTCTTTCGGTAAAGTTACGTAGAATGGAAATAATAAAATAATTAACATAATAAAATAATACTTTATTATATTATTTAATATTATTATTTTATTATGTTATTTTATTTTTAAATGTTTTATTATTATTTTATTATTTCCATTCTACGTGACTTTACCGAAAGAACCAAGAAGATGAATCCCTGCAGTCACGAAAGCTTTAAATCGAAATGTTATTATGTTGTATTTTTATTATTTTATTATTTCCATTCTACGTGACTTTACCAAAAGAACCAAGAAAATGAATCCCTGCAGTCACGAAAGCTTTAAATCAAATAGTTATTATGTAGTATTTTTATTATTTTATTATTTCCATTCTACGTGACTTTACCGAAAGAACCAAGAAGATAAATCCCTGCAGTTACGAAAGCTTTAACTCGAAATTTAAAGACATCTTAATATATATAGAGGAGCGCAGAGATTTGGTAATAAGTTTAACACGTAGGCTTTCACGACCAATATCATCCATAACACATGTATGGGGGGTTAGAACACGTAAATATATAAATGATGAAGCTAGTTGTAATTACTGGTGATACGTCGTACTCAGATTGTAAATGTTGTGGCTTGGCTTTGCTTTTCAACACACAGGTGTGCTGTACTATTAACAAATTAGCATGTTCTATTCACGTGACAAACCTTACTAATTGGCTGTGTCAGGTGGTGGCAGGTTTATTGACACATTTATATATTTACGCGATATAACCCAAAGAAAACCTATATTATAGATTTGGTAATCGTTGGTGAAGCCAGCTAATCACCACCTGACTGATGCTTTCCCGCTTGCCTCTGGTTCCTCGACGATCTTGAGATATGTGCTTTGTACACGTAATGTCATCAGAATGGAATCTCACGAAAAACCGATGACATACGCATACGTCATCGAAATAGGTTAATATATACATCAGCTGAACGATCGCAATCATATGCATGACTCAATATGTACCAAACATATTCAAGCTATATGTACTATACTCTTTGGATCTTTCGGTAAAGTCACGTATGTATAAAAATAATAGATCACCACGTTTCGATCACAACACAAACAATCGTCATCAGGTGGGACAGCCACGGCAAGAAAAAACTGCTAAAGTAGGCGAGAGATCTGCCGTGGCACGAGGTCATATAGGCCTCAGCAGTAGGGGGGTAGTGTATAGTGTAGTGTATAGTGTAGTGTACAGTAGTGGTGTATAGTGTAGTGTATAGTGTAGTTTATAGTGTAGTGTATAGCAGTGTAGTGTATAGTGTAGTGTGTAGTGTAGTGTATAGTGTAGTGTATAGTGTAGTGTATAGTGTAGTGTATAGTGTAGTGTATAGTTTAGTTTATAGTGTAGTGTATAGTAGTGGTGTATAGTGTAGTGTATAGTGTAGTGTATAGTGTAGTGTATAGTGTAGTGTATAGTAGTGGTGTATAGTGTAGTGTATAGTGTAGTGTATAGTAGTGGTGTGTAGTGTATAGTGTAGTGTATAGTGTAGTGTATAGTGTATAGTGTAGTGTATAGTAATGTAGTGTATAGTAGTGTAGTGTATAGTAGTGTAGTGTATAGTGTAGTGTATAGTGTAGTGTGTAGTGTACTGTATAGTGTAGTGTATAGTGAAGTAGGCGAGAGACCTGCCATGGCACGAGGTTATATAGGCCTCGGCAGTAAGGGGGGAGAGAGAAGTGGGGGGGGGGGGGGGGGGGGGAAGGAGGCGGGGCAGAAAGTCGACCCCGCAGCAGCACCCGGGTCACTGGAGTAGAGAACGGAGAGAGATGCACAGAGAGAGAGAGAGAGAGAGCGAGAGAAAGACACACAGAGAGTCGGAAATAACAGCTGACATAGGCAGGCAGGATGGAAACATCACTGTCAGTTAAGACTTTACCTGGTTAATAACGTCCTTCCAATGATTGCTCAGTTTGTGCCCATCTTCTCGGTTGAAGTTGTGTCCGTGTTTATATATCGGGATGGCTTCATGAACAAATCTCTGAAAATAGCCGGTGGGTTTGCAGAGTACCTTCGT